AAGATACCTTTTATATAGATATGACCATTCATACATAGATGAATTGGCGTGTTGGTCTATAAATAGTAAATCTTCTAATGATAATGATAAAATTCATATAAATTGAATTTGTAACATGTAAGAAGATGTCATAAGTTTTGCATCAAAATAGACCTGAATTTCATAGTGGAATAAGATTATATTTAACATATAAATGCTTGAAAAGAAATGAAAAGGCTGAAAAAAAATATGATTTTGAAATATTGTGATCACAATTGATGCAACTATTCTAAGTTATTGAGATAATGACGTTTCTTTAAGAGTAGCCATTAAATGAATATACAATTAAAAAAAATCTAGCCATATGTATTGGTGATACCCTTATGTGAAAGACTTTCTTATGATTTATATTAATCTGGTAATATTAGTTTAAGAAGATGTAGTATGATAAATCTGTGAAGAAATAAGGCTAAAATTCTTAAACTAAACACAATTAGTGATAGGAACCCAATTTTAAGTTAGTATACACTCTAACAATACAAGTTCAACGGGTAATAACAAGTTACTTTGTGTTGCTAAAAAACATTCTCTATTAGAGCCTTGATTCAAGTATACTACACAATGTTATGTGAGAAGTTGATGAGTTGTTAAATGCTTGAAATAATAGGGCATAGTGACAACTCTATAATGCAGACTGTTACACAGAGGTTGAATTAATTCTTAATGAGATCAATAAATGTCTACCGTAACAGAGATATAGTAGCTAATTTCACCTATATGTATATTGAAGTTGTGCCGCTTCAAGCAAGATCTAAAGGGTTGGTCTTGTAAATATTCATGAAATCAATCAATACATTGTCATAAACGTGCTAAAGCAAATACTGAAGTTTCTAAGCTACAATAATATTATGTGTGTGTGATATTTTCAATTTTGACAAATGAAGTTGTGATGCAAAGCTTTTAAGATATCAATTGCTTCGTCAGAACTTTAAAGTATTTGCACTAACGGAAAGTTCAAATCTATTATAGATACTCTCTGTTGTGCATGATATTATGAGAAATATTACAAACTAATGGGGCATTATTGGTTATTTTAATTTGTAATATAAATAGGTCTTAAATTAAACAGACACATATATATATTCGTGAAAGAACATTACTATTTTGAAAAGTAATTTGTTCATGAAAAGAACATGACCTTTATGAAAAGTCATTTGTTCATGAAAAAACATGAATCTTATGAAAAGTCATTTGTTTATGAAAGAACATGACTCTTATGAAGAGTCATCTCTTAATATCTATAAATATAAAGACTCTGTAGAAGTAGCCTAAGAAAAATTTGCATGTATAAACAAAAGACTATATTGTATCCAAAGAAAATTGTTCGTATTTCTCCAATATGTATATGGGCAATTTCTCTTTAAAAAAAGTGACTACACGCCTCAAAGCTATTTTTTTCTTCAATTATAGTGCCTATTATTGTTTTTCGAACACCCATAAGATAGAGGCTAAGAGTTTATCCCCGCCATCGAAAGGAGGTAAGAAATTGTCTCCGTGAACTCCAAACATGGAGATGAACAACTTTGCCCATGAAAAGGTATTCTTATATAGTGTTTTTCAGCCTAATTATGATCAATGATTACTATTTTTAAATTTTAATCATAGAAGGGTCATTTCTTCCTTGTAATTGCTTGTTATCACTTTTAGGGGTGTACAAAATTGAATAGAAAATTAAGTCAAATTACAAATCGAGTTAAACTGGAAAAAAATCGGACTAATGATTTAGTTTGACTTGGTTTGGTATTGGAAAAAAAATCGATTATATTTGGGTTGGTTTGGTTTTAACTAAAAAAAGTCAACCTGAGACCAAACCAACCCGATATTATATATAATTTTTAAAATTTATTTTATACATTAAAGTATTTATTTTGATGTAATTTCTAAATATTACTTATACATTTTCATAATTTTTATCTTTTAACATATTTTTTCAAGTTTTTTTTAGACTTAGAATTTTGAATGGTCCAGTAAAAGTTATAGTCTATAGATATTAGTAATTCTAATAAAACTCAATTCAAAATCAAATAAATACTAATGCTAACAAAATATATTAATTCAACATTAAGAATTACAATACTGATGACTAATTGTTCTTTAGTTTTACATTGGTTTAGACATTTAAAATACATAACCTAATTTTAATTTTTCTTTAATGTTTAATTATGTAATTAATACTTATTAGACTTATTTTAGCATGATTTAGTACTTCTAAATTATAATCATTTTCATTATGACTTATCAATTTGCAATATTTATTTTATACGATTTCATTATTATTTTTTATTGAATATTTTAGTGTCATCACCCATATCATATTTGTGTTATTTTGTTAAGAAACACCTTAGATGGGTGTATTTTGGTTAGACTAAAAAAAATATTTGAAGTACAAGTTAATTACATAGTTGTATGAATACTTTATCAGAAAAATCCAAAAACTCGAAAAAATCTGAGGTTTATTACTTTGGTTTGATTTAAAAATTTAAAAATTCGACACAATGGTTTTGTTTGGTATTTGAAAAATCCGAACCAATCCGAAAAAAGCCAAGGTTGAAAAACCTGAGTTTTATTAGTTTGGTTTGGTTCATAAATTTAAAAATTCGACACAAGCACTTTGATTTGATATTTGAGAAACCCGAACCAACCTGGATTTATTACTTTGTTACTTTCCATCAGTGGCCGAGCCACATATAGTTAAGGGGTGTCGACCGACACCCCTTCGTCGGAAAATTACATTGTGTAGTTAAAATAAAAATATTATTTTATGTATATATATTACATATCAACACTCATTGGATTCTTCACAATTTTATTTCTTTATATTTTGATACCCCTTAGACAAATTCTAGCTCCACCACTGCTTTCTATCACTGCTGCACATTCAACTGTTAGATCAAACATCGTGTTATTGGAATTGTTTCGTATTTTGGCCAAAAATACAAAATTATAAGCATAGTATTCAAATTAGCTTGTGTTCATTTCAATTAATTTTATTATGTACTCATTATATTTTTATCTTTATATTTATCAAATAATTTTGCTTCTTACCACTTTTTAAACAAATAAAAATAAATCACCTAATAATATTATCTTTATTAAAAATTTAAATTTAAAATTTTATAATTATTTATTTACTTTATTTGACCGCTAAATCATACGTGGAAGGCTTGAACACGCAGGACTCATCCTTCTTGCCAATATACAAAACTAACCAAAAAAAAACACGAAATCAAACGTCAACTAAGAAATGTAATAGGCAAAAGATAAAGGGTGACCGATCGAGAACTCCTCATTAGACACGTACGAAATTTGTCTGCGGCTTATAATTACTCATTCATATTTATATGTCATAATTTTAGATTTCATGTTCCTTAAAAGATTATGTAAAATTTATTATTGTATCCTTATTTAATATTCTCTTGAAGTCAAAATTTCAATAAATGAACATAATTAATTTATTTTGATTATTTAAATTGACCAATAAACATGAATTAATATTTAATTTTTCAATATTAATCAAAAATCATACTTTCAAGGCTAATAACTCTTAAGGGTAAAATAAGAAAATAGTAGTATCGTTTATGCATCATCTTTATGAAATGATAAATATTAAGAACCATTTATTTTTAGGTAAGAACGACATATAAATAGAAACGTAGAAAATAATAAAAGTCCTTGCTAATTTATAAAAAAGTTATTACACTGAAAAAATAAAAAATAAAAAAAGAAAGAGAACACCCCAATGAAAAAGGATAAATTTATGATTTCACAACTAGTTGGATATTTAAATCAGTATTTTCATAATACCAAATTACTTCAAACTAGATACTAGATTACCGTCTTCAATTTGATCTCTGTTTGGCGTATATATATTGATAAATCATATGGATCTACGCATCTCCATTTGAATTAACATGTAAATAGGTTTCTCCCGACAAACAAAACGAAAAGATTTAAATATAAATTATGAAACACGAAAATTATTTTTATATTATCTATAATAAATTACGAATTGGAGTGATGAAAATAATTGTTTGTTACTAATATTGGCATTACATTAGAATAGATTAGCTGTCTAGTAGCATTACAATACAAAAAAAAAACATTTACGGGTAATAGATTTCTTTTTATACTAATATATTTATTACTATTATAATAATAATAATTAGCGATAATTGAATTAATTCATTATATTCAGAGATATTAAATTTTTCAATAGGAGTGACATTTATAAGACTGTGTGGTTATTAAAATTCACATAATCATATTTATTAATATCACTAAATATAATACTCCCTCTGTCCCAATTTATTTGACTTATTTTTCTTTTTAGTTAGTCCCAAAAAGAATGACACATTTTTATATTAAGTAACAATTTAATTATAAAATGTCTATCTTAATGAAATGATTTACAGCCACACAAATTTCTATCATTATTCATTCATTTTGGACCACAAATTTTAAAAGTCTTCTTTTTTTTTTTAAACTTCGTACCGAGTCAAAGTATCTCATATAAAATGGGACGGAAAAATTATAATATTATCACTAAAAAAATTATTTATGATAGTATAGCCTAATAAAAATGTATACTAAATATTATAATATTCAAATCGCAATATCAAAAATTTCAATTTCAATATACACCGTACCATGCCAACTCGAAAAGGAATCGGTAAAAACAGAAAAAGTAGTCCAAAAAGCATAACAAAATTACTTTACTGTATACATGCAAATTAAAGTGTTTTTTGAATGCTTTTGTCCAATTCCGCAACGGTTATAGTAGAGCAAAAATTATACGTGTCCCAAAATGAGGCATTCTCATTGCATGCAATGGCCGCCTGTTTAGCTTTTATAACACTTGACAAAACACGTGCCCCTTCCACCCTTCTATATAATCCATCTCCCCCAAATCCTCACAATTCAATTCATACCTATTTTGTTCATAACTCAAAAAAAATCTCATCAATTATGGCTGATTACTATGGGCAACCCCAACATACTCAACACCAGTTCCTCCACGGAGCTGGGCAGCAGCCTCGTTCTCACCAGATGGTGAAGGCAGCTACTGCTGTTACCGCCGGTGGATCGCTTCTTCTTCTTTCCGGGTTAACTTTAGCTGCAACGGTGATTGCGCTCACTATTGCGACTCCCGTGCTGGTGATTTTTAGCCCGGTGATTGTACCTGCTGTTATTACTCTCTTTTTGTTGTTCTCAGGGTTTTTGGCTTCCGGCGGATTTGGCGTAGCGGCGATAAGTGTGTTGTCGTGGATTTATCGATACGTGACAGGAAAGCGACCACCTGGTGCAGATCAGTTGGAGCAAGCAAGGCATAAGTTGGCTGCTAAAGCTGGGGAGATGAAAGATAAGGCTCAGGAGTTTGGGCAGCAGCACATCACTGGAACCCATCAGACTTGAGCTACTATAAGTTGTACTTAAATTTGTTTATTCAATGCGTTGTGTATGTTTTTGTTTGTAAGCTCTTTCAGCTTTTGTGTTTTGTTAATTTTTGTGTTGTACCTACTGTTGCTATGAGGCTCGTCTTCATGACTGAGTCGGCATTAATATATATTTTGTAAAAGTTTCTCTTTTAAAAATTTGAAATAAATGTTGCACTTAGTTGTATATCTAAGAAACTTAATACTCCCCGTCCCATCTTAGATGGATAACTAAAAAATATTTTTCTAATATCACATCTTACTAATATTACTTAAATTATTTATTAAATTAAGATAAAATTAGTTACGTATACTTTTTCTATTTCACCCTTATAATCAATTAATATTGAAATAACAAATTACAGTAGAGTTTAATTAAACTATTAATGATTCTTTAATTATCTTCCCAAATTAGAAGTTCCCCATCTAAATATACGGGACAGAGGGAGTAAATAAATTAATGTTTATCTGAAGTAGGGCGGTCATTTCGTTTTTGTCTGTATTGCGTGTTTGATTTATGATTTTTAATTTTAAACACAACCGATAATAAAATGTTTTTTCTACTGTAAATTTATTTATTTATTTATGATTCACAGCCTAAAAAAACAGCCTATCCTCTTTATTTTCTCTTGCAAGATATAATGAACTCGCATTTTTTCTCAAATTTAACAAGGGCAAAGTTGGAACATACATGAAAAAAAATAATATTGAAACGAAGTATAAGGAAAGAAACTCGATAAAAAGAAGGCCACTTTCGTGATTTTCATATCCATTTCCAACGATTTCATGTGCAAAAAAGGCATTCAGTATTAGGTCCATTTATGTATATGAGAACATTAAATGGCTGCATATATATAAAATCATAACAAGTTGAATACGACACAATTAATTAATTAATGAGAACATTAATGTGCTACATATTTAACCATTTTTGTTTTGTGCCATTTTCTTTTTTATTATTTGTTTTTTAATTTTTCCCTCACTAATTTAACACAAGTGGTTTCATTATTTTGCAAGATAATAAAGAGGTGAGGGTTTAAGTTGTATAACTTAAATAAGTTTTTTTTTAAATAATTAGACAGGGTGCAATTTATTTTTACTGGCTAGACAACTTAAAATATTTGAAGGACACGTAAATAGAAAAAGAGGGAGTAATATTTATTATTTGAAAATTATATAAAAAGTCTATAAATTATAATAATTAATAATTTAAAATATTTTAAACCATATAGAAAGTTGAATAGTTCTCTAATTTGTGAATAACAATTCTTATATCTAGGAGTCTTAGAAGTTGAAGCATTATCTTGTTAAATAAATGAATTATTGGTGCGACAATCTTGCAACTTTTTTGTAAATATTCTTATACCGTTTTGATTTATTTTTTTCTGCTTTTAATTCTTTTAATTACTATTTATTTTTATAAATTAACTAAAAGTGCTAAGATAAAAAAAATTAATCATTTGCAACAATTTTTAAAGTGAGAAAATAAATTACAATTACAAATAAAATATGAGACATGACTTCATTAATAAAATGAAAAAGGTCAAAAATACACTTGGAGTATTTGAAATAATTTAAATTTACCCCTCATTCATCTATTGGGTTAAAAATACCCCTCACTTCATCTTTTTGGTTAATTTTACCCTTAAATCCTTTAAAACTAATGGCCCTCCTTCCTTTTCTTCTTATTATTATTACATGACATATATTTATATTTATTGGATAAAATTAAATCCCCAACACATTAAAAAAATCCAATCCACCCGTACCCATTTTGCAGAACTTTCTTACTCAAGGTTTCTGCCATACCTACTTACTTGGACAGCCACCCATTCTTTTATTGTAATATTTAAATAAAATTTGAAGTTGATACTCCATGACAATGCAAATACAAATTAATGGAAAAAGTCATATAGAATGAAAAATAGCAAACGTTATGCTATTTTCTGATGATTGATCCAATTCAAAAAATAGCAATCATTTAGGGGAAGTGAAACATGAAAAATGGCAAACATGAGAAACTCGGCTGAAACGGGATCAAAATTTTCTGATGGAATGAATTATAGTGAATATTTTTGTCTGGATTAGAAGATGGTGTTCGGCTGGTGATAGAGATTTAGGATAAATTTTATAATGCTAATTAGAATTGAGTCACGGAGGGTTGAAAAAAGTATGATGAATTGGGAATTTAATTTTATCTAATAGAAAAACACCATTTAATAATAATAATGATAATAATAATTTAAAAAAAAAGAAAAAAAAAAGGAAAAGGGTCGTTAGTTTTAAGGGATTTAAGGACAAACGTGAGCCAAAAAGGTGGACTAAGGGGTATTTTTAGTCCAATAGATGGATGAAGGGTGAATTTAAACCTTTACAAATAGTAAGGTGTTTTTGGCCCTTTTCCGTTAATAAAATAAAGTGGGTACAATTTTTTTTATCTCTTGATTCTTATCTCCTAAGATTTTTTCGTAATTCGATGGCCATTAGTAGCGTATTTCTCGAACGTAAGAGACCATATTTTGATCTCTTTAGGAATATCTCATGAATTTATGGAGTTTTTGAGATTTCTTTGAGAAAGACATATTTAATGTCTTATTGATCTCTTTATGAATACCAAAAAATATAAATATTAAAAAAATTATTTATGGATACTCAGTTGTTTTTCAATTGAATATAATACTTTTATATAGACATGAAGTAGGGTTGAATCTAACTGAAATTGAAAACGTCTTGTAGAGTCCCAATTGAAATTGAATACGTCTTGCATAGCCCCATAAAATTTCGATATTTACATTAATGAATGAGAAAAATAAATAAAAAGTAAGTAAAAAGGAAATAAATATTTTTTTTAAAAAGGAAAAAATTAAATATATAAATTTTTTAATATTAATAATTATGTGTACTAATTAAAGAAAATATATATTTAATTAATTATGTTTCTTTCAAGGTTTTGGCTTCTCACTTGCTGTTTTTGTTACATTTCAGATTTCACTTGAAGGCATCCTTGTAATACCTTTTCCTAATATGAATCATTAATATTCTCAATCTAAACCTATTCTTGCTTCTTAAATGGGACGGGGTTTGGGTGGTTGGAGGCTGATTTTTTTTTAGAAAATAGTAAAAAAGAAAAATTAATTGTTGAAATATTTATTTGAATTAGTCAAATACGTTTAAATTAGTTTTTCTTTTTCCTTCTTATAATTGTAAATTATTTTTCGATCAAAATATCATAGGTTTTCATTTAATTCGTTATTTTTGACATATCATTTACAAATACATTATACACATTTTATACTTTTAGCTAGTTGTTAAAAAATATCTCTAGTTCGTCAAAAGAATTTCTAATAGACACATATTTTGAGTTACTTAAATGTTCGATATGAACATATCCAACTTCAAATGTCAAAATGAAAAATGTTGAGAAATTCTTCAAATGTCAAAATGAAAAATGTTTGACAAATTTAAAGGACCCCTTGCGACTTTACCCATTTAGCTTTTACATGTCTTTGCATCATAGAAAAGGAAAATAAAACGCGAAAAAAATTATTATTCTTTTTTGATAAGTCAAAAGTAACAAGTAAAAATAAAAATTTATTTTAAAAATAAGTGATAATTAAAAGTGAATAGAGGGAGTAATAAGCAACTAATGGTATGTTATTAAATATTGTGACATCAAGATGATAAACTTACCTCCTTAGAGACTTCAGGAATAGAAGGTGAAGTTTTGGAGGAATTGTGAATTCTGCAATTCACAAATCCTATCAAAATACAACCCAACAGATCAAAGAGGCAATCACAAGCCAACAAATTTTCACAAGATATATTGTAATTTTATTTTTATGTAGAAATAATGATGTTTGTAAAAAAAAAAAAAAAAAAAAAGTACAAAATCTTCATAAAAAAATGAATGTCTATTTTTTAAACATAAAAATACTTTAAATTAAAATAATCAAATCTTCATATGAGTAAATAAAGTTTTTTACAATAGATCTAAGGTAAATATATCAGGAATACATGACAAAAATCTTATTGAGACAAATTAATTATTATCATTATAAGAATGATATTGCTATAAAAAATAATATTACTATAAACAATAATATTACTATAAGATATTTTAAGTTCTTTTATTCAATTTTGACTAATTTTATCAAACAATTATTGCAAAAAAGAAAGAAAAAAATTATTATCAAATCTTTTAGTGCACGTCAAAAACACTAGGCCGTCGTTTCGTCTTTAATCTATTGATGTCATTCTAATGAAATACTTTTGAGAAATTAATATTTCTGAGAAAAGAAATTTCTCAAATCCTATTAGCGTATTTCAATATTCTTTTTTGAGATTTGATATTTTCATATTTTTTTGTAAATATTTAAGAATTTATGGGATTTTTGAGATGTCTTTTCATTTGGGGTTGAATAGTATTCTTGAACATTCTATTTGGGGTAGAGTAGTCTTCAAGAATGCATGCTTATGTAATTGACAGAAAGATCAATAATTCTAATTTACTTGATTGGTATGATTCTCTCAGCTACTATGATGTGATATTTGATTTTAAACAACTGTCATGTGCTGGTATTTACATGATGTACTAGTCTATTAAAATTGATTCTTCCATCATAATTTATGTTTTTCTTCCTCTTTTAAAGTTCTCATGGGATTAACCACGACTAGTGTTGAGCATGATTTTTTTTTTCTAACTTTCAATTTTATTTTGAATGTGTAGGGAAATGTCGGTGATCAAATCTGAATAGTGGCCACAAGTCAACTATATTTATTGAAGTAAACGATAAAGAGTTTTTGAACTATTGTGATATATGTTTAAATAAATTTGATTGTGTAGAATTTATTGCTAGTACCTATCTCTAAGTATGTGTAGTACAAGACATGTTTTTCGAAGTTAATTGCAAATCTATACATTTAAATTATTTATTAGCTAATTTTGTTTCTTAAGATCATTTATATATAATTATGTGATTAATAAATAAATGCAAACCAGAATGATTATTTTCCGATTAAAAACTACAGCTATTATAAGAATTCTAGACAATATTACCACACTTCAAAAGTGTGGCTATAGGAATGTCAATAGTGTGGCTTATTAGTTATAAATTGGAGTATATATATAAGAAAAGGTTACACCTTATAAGTGTTGCTAATGATATTTTACAAGCGTGGTCATTGTAC